GACCTTTGCCCTGCCTTCCAGCCTCTGGAGCTGAGCCAATAAAATGTTGTTTGTTATAAATGACCCAGTCTCCTGTACATACCAGACTTGGAAGGCTTTGTTCTCTGATCGACACACTATGTTTTGGGGCTTGAGATGTCGCTCTGGTCATGACTACTCCAGTGGATGAGAACAACTCTAAGTCAGTTAAGATGGAGCTAAAACTGTGGCTTCCAGGGACCTCTCAGAAGATCCCATGCTCTGTGTTGTGGTGGACACTACAGGAGACAGATGCAGGACTTCGGCAGAGCTTCACACACTTGTGGCTCTGTACTTTACACCTTTGACAATATTCAGGGTCACAAAACATAGTATGTTTCCTACTTCAAAGTCCCTGAGAATCAGAGGGAAATGGTTCCATGAGCAGCCTTGCAGTTCCTGTCAGTAGACATCCCAACTGGGAAAAATACAGATCATTTCTCTCAATCCCACCTATAAAACAGCACACAGACATAAGATGTGCCTGTTCCACACCTTCATTAGGAAATAATTCCTTCTCTTGAATTTGTGTATTAGTCTGTTTTGTGTTGCCATAACAAAATACCTGAAGCTCAGTAACTTGTGAAACAAAGGCACCTATTTGGCTCATGATTCCAGTGTCCAGAGGGCCCTAATAGCGTGGTTCCAGGACCCCAGTGAGATCACCATGGCTTCATGACACAGCAGAAGAGTGGAATGGGAACTGGCCACATGAAAACAGGGACAAGGGATAGGGTGACCTTGTTTTATAACAACTCATTCTCATGAAAACTCAATTCAGAGAGAACTAGTGATTCTGTGAGACTGCCTTGATCTACTTACTCTCTTGAAAGTCTATTTCTCAGAACCACTCCACTGGTCACTAAGTTCCCAGTGAATGAAATGTGAGAGGCAAACCATAGCAACTGGTTTCCATTGGCGGGTGGGGGGTGTACTCCATCATATGTAGAGATGGCTAGCGTTCTCTTTCTTTCTCTCATCTTTCCCTACCCCCTTGCTCTGTTTGCAATGTTTCTTAAACCTAGAACATCTGAACTAACATTTCTCTCAGTCTAAAATCTACTTAGTTTCTCCTCCCCTCCCAATGAAAAATACAATAGAACTGAGGGGCAGTTCAGGTGGCAGGACACCAGTCAGGGAGAGCTGTTAATGATGCTCCTGAAGCCCCTTGTTATCAATCCACTGAGTCACACGTACAAACAAAGGTGTAAGATACTAACAGGCCTCATCACTTGCAGGAAGCCAAAGCAGAGCTGGGACCTAGACAGCTTCATCTAGCTCTGAGCATGTGCTCTAACCACTGAGTCCATCTCCACTCAAGAAGAGAGTCAGGCATGGTGGTGCACACCTTCAGTCATAGCACTTGGCAGGCAGAGGTAGGCAGGTTTCGATGAGATGGAGGCCAGCCTGGTCTATATAGCAAGCTCCAGGCCAGCTAGCACTACAGGTAGATCTTGTCTCAAAAAGATAACAACAAAAAACCCCAAAGGAATCATTAATTCATGCACTTATGTATTTTCTTTGTAAATATTGAGCACAAGAAGACATGCTTTCCTGACGAGAGATGCTAATAGTGGAGACACTCCTGAACATCCTTGGAAGACAAAATAAGAGAATAGGGGCTGAGAGATGGCTCAGCAGCTAAGAGCACTGGCTGTTCTTGCAGAGGAACCCAGGTTTGATTCCTAGCACCCATGTGGCCAGCTAACAACCATCTTTAACTCCAGTTCCAGGGAATCCAATGCAACATGTCTTCTGACCTCCTCAGGCATTACAGGCATGTGATGCACTTAAACACATGTACACAAAACAGTCATACACATAAAATAGAAATATAATTTTAAAGCACACACAGTGGATAAAGGTTCCTGCACCTGGCCAGCCTGAGCACCACTAGGGACACATGCTCCTCCTGCCTCCTTTCTCTCCCAAATTCAAAAGCCGAGCACCATTAACAATGTACGTACTCTGGACCTCAGCAGGACATGAAGACAAATAGACAGGCTCTAATAAGTATAGGCCAGTGCTTCTGTTGCCACAAGAAGGAGAAGTCCAGCTCACCAGCTTGGAAGTTAAACATCAGTGGTTATACCCCTGAAAAGAAGCCCAGACATCCACTGGACTTGATGGTACAAGTCTTTAATCTCAGCACTCAGAAGGTATAAGCAGGTGGACCTCTGTGACTTTAAGGCTAGCTTGGTCTACATAGCAAGTTCCAGGCTAGCTGGGGTTACATAGTGAGGGACTATAAAAAAAATAAAATAATAAAATAAAAAGCCTGGTATTTGTGAACATTTATAGTTCATCAAACTCTAGGCTGGGGTGTGTCCAGTTTTTGAACTATGAATAGGGACAAGGAGAATTCCGTGAGTTACTGCTGCAGACATAAAACTTAGAGCATTAACCTGGTCACATAGACACAGCATCTGACCATGAGCCTCCCCTCAGCACCAATGTAACACACACATTCCCAAGGGAAGAAGCGCCACATACACAGACTGAAGCAATGTCAGCATCCCTCAGATCAACTATTTCCAAATCACAGGAAAAGTTCCACTTATTTCAATGTCTATTAAATGCCTGGACTATTTAGCACAATCTAAAAGAAAGTGCAAACGCCTCATCTTATGACTAGCTATTTTAACAACCAAGCTAGGGGTGTGGCTCAATTGACAGAGTGCTTGCCAACAAGCAAGAGGCCCAGGGCACCACGCACACCAGATATGGTATCCCACACCTTCAATTCCAACCTCTGGGGTACCAGGCTCTGAGGTATGGACCAAGCTTGGGTATCAATTATGGTACCAGGCACTGTAGTATAAGGCTCTGGAGTACTATTCTTGAGTACAAGACTCTATGGTACTGGGCACTGGGGTAAAAGGCTCTAGAGTACCAGGCTCTGGGTTGCTGCAGTACCAAGTTCTGAAGTACCATGTTCTGAGATGCAAAGCTCTGGGGTAGCAGGATCTGTGCTACTAGTCTCAGTGGTACTAATAACTAAGATACTACATTCCGGGGTAACAATCTGTGGTACCAGGCTCTGTAGTACCACGCTCTGGAGTACAAGGCTAGATCTTGAGTATAAGGCACTGGACTACCAGGCCCTAAGGTACCAGGTGGCTCTGGAGTGCTGGGTTCTGAGTGACCAGCTTGGTGATACCAGACTTTGGGATATCAGGCTCTGAGGTACCTCTGGGGTGTGAGGCTCTGGGGTACAAAGCTCTGAAGTCCCAGGCTGTGGGGTATCAAGATCTACAGCACAAAATTCTGTGAAAACACACTCTGGGGTATGAAGATCTTGGTTACAAGGCTCTGGGATACCAAGTCTTCACTGTACTAGGTTCTAGGGTACCAGGTACTGGAATACCAGGCCTGGGCTAAGAGTATCTGGGGCACAGGAACTGCGGTAGAAGGCCTCTGGCTTCTGGCTCCAGTGTGCCAGGCTCTCGGTTATGATGGTCTATAGTATAAAGCTCAGGGCTTACAGGCTCAGGAATATCAGGATCGCTCATTCAATGCTCTAGGATATCAGAGTCCATAGTACCATGCTCTGGAGTACAAGAATCTGGGATAGTACCAACCTGTGGTGCCTGGCTCAAAAGTCTGAGGATCTAGAGTAGCCAGCTCTGCCATACCAGGCTTTGAGTCTTTGAAATACCGGGCTTTATGGTCCCAGGTTCTGTGGTACCAGGCTGTGGGCTATCAAACTTTGTTATACAAGGGCCTGTAATACCTGGTTTTAGGGCACCTGGCTATGAGATACCTGACTCTGTTGTACCTGGTCTGAGGATATCAGCCCTTGCTTTACCAAGTTCTGTAGTACCAGGTTATACTATACCATGCTCTTGTAGTACCAAGCTTTAATGCACAAAGCTCTGGGGTATGAAGCTCTGAGGTATTATGGCTTTGTGGTACTATGTTCTGTGGTACAAGGTTCTATGGTTCCAAGCTCTGGGATACAAGGCTGTGTGGTACCGGGTGCTGAGGTATGAGGTTCTGCACTTCCGTGTTTTGTGGTACTGGGCTCTGAGGTAACAGGTTCTAGACAGACAGTCTTACAGTAAATAGGTTCTGCAGTGACAGGCTCCATGGTACCAACTCCTCAAAAACTGGCATATGACACTCTTGGTGCCAGACTCTTCCTTATCAGGCTCTGAAATACCAGGATCTGGGGTACCAAGCAGTATAGTATCAGGCTCTGTGGTACCAGACTGCTGGACTGAGCTCTGTAGTACCAGGCTGTGTGCATCAGGCTCTACAGAATTGAGCTCTACTGTGCTAGGCTCTATACTGCCAGGTTCTATGGAGTCAGTCTCTGTAGTACCAGGTTCTGCAGTATCATGCTCTACAATTCCAAGCTCTGTGGTACCAAGCTGTGTGATGCTAAGCTTAATGGCACCAAGCTCAGATGTCTCAGGCTCTGAGCTACCAGGTTCTGTGGTACGAGGCTCTGATGCATCAGGCTCTGGATTCAGGATCTATAGTACCAATCTCTGTGCAACTAGATTCTGTTGTACAAAGTTCTATGATAATAGGCTGTACAGTACCAAGGCTCTATGGTACCAGGCACTGGGATACTAGGCTCCGATATAGGTATCTATAGTATCAGACTCTGCTGTTCCAAGCTCCGTGGCACCAGGCTGTATGTAGCTGACTCTGCAGTATCAGGCTCTACTGTACCAGGATTTATGATAAGGACCAGGATCTGTTGTTGTAGGCTCTGTGAAACTGGGCTTTGCAGTACCATGCTCAGGATACCAGGCTCTGGGGTACTAGACTTTGTAGTAAACAGAATCTACAGAAACAGGCTCTGAGGTTCCAGGCTTTACCCTACCAGGATCCGCTATGCCAGATTGTATGCACCTGGTTCTATAATATTAGACTATACTGTCTCCAGCTTTGTAACATCTGTGGATCAGTTAGTGAGGTGCCAGTACCTGGAATACCAGGCTCTGCTGTTACAGGCTCTATGGTACCAGACACTACTGTACTAGACTCTGGGATTCAGGCTCTGTGGTTTCAGGCACTGCAATAAGTCTCTGTGGTGTCAGGCTCTGTGGTTCCAGATTCTGTGGTACCAGGCTCTGGGGTATCAGGCTCAACTGTGCCAAGTTGTGGGGTATGAGGCTCTTGGCATCAGGCTCTGGGGTTCCAGGCTCTGCTGTACCAGGCTCTATAATACCAGACTCTGTGGTACTAGGCTCTGGAGTACCAGGATCTGCAGAACCATGTTCTGTGGTACCAGGCTCTGTGGTACTAGGCTCTGGGGTATCAGGCTCTGGGGTATCAGGCTCTGGGGTACCAGGCTCTGTGGTACTAGGCTCTGGGGTATCAGGCTCTGGGGTATCAGGCTCTGGGGTATCAGGCTCTGTGGTATCAGGCTCTGGGGTATCAGGCTCTGGGGTATCAGGCTCTGTGGTACTAGGCTCTGGGGTATCAGGCTCTGTGGTACTAGGCTCTGAGGTATCAGGCTCTGGGGTATCAGGCTCTGTGGTACTAGGCTCTGGGGTATCAGGCTCTGTGGTACTAGGCTCTGGGGTATCAGGCTCTGGGGTATCAGGCTTTACTATGCCAGGTTCAGAGATATAAGGTTCCTAGTAGCAGGCTCTTTGGTAACAGGCTCTGCAGTACCAGTCTCTGTGGTACCAGGCTGGACTGTGCCAGGTTCTGGGGTATGAGGTTCTTGGTACCAGGCTATGGGGTTTCAGGCTCTGCTGTATCAGACTCTGGAGTGTCAGAGTCTAGAGTACTAGGTTTTGCAGTACCAGGATCTATGGTACCAGGCTCTTAGTACTAGGCTCTGGGGTATCAGGCTCTGTAGTACCAAGCTCTGGGGTATCAAGCTGTACTATGCCAGATTCTGGGGTATGAGGTTCTTGGTACCAGGCTCTGAGGGTACCAGGCTCTGTGGTACCAGGCTCTATGGTACCAGGCTCTGGGGTACCAGATTCTGTGGTACCAGGCTCTATGGTACCAGGCTCTGGGGTACCAGATTCTGTGGTACCAGGCTCTATGGTACCAGGCTCTGGGGTACCAGATTCTGTGGTACCAGCTCTGTGGTATCAATCTCTATGGTATCAGGCTCTATGGTACCAGGCTCTTAGTACCAGGCTCTGGGGTAGCAGGCATTGTGGCATCAGGCTTTGCAATACCATGCCCTGTAATATCAGGCTCTGCAGTACCGGGTTCTGTATTAGAGTCTGGCACTTAGTTATATAGTATCAAAGTTCTGCATTATCAGACTCTGTTGGAACAGGCTCTGAGATGTCAGGATCTGTAGTATCTAGCTCTACAGTTCCAGATTCTGTGGTATCAGACTCCGTGGTACCAGATTCTGCTTCCACATGCTCTGTGGTACCGGGCCCTGTGCTACCAAAGTCTGCAGTACTAGGCTCTGTGGTATCAGACACTGGTGTCAGACTATCTGCTGTATCGGGCATTGTGTTATCAGGCTCTACGGTACCACAGTCTGCATTATAAGGTAATTATAGCAGGCTCTGAGGTATCAGGATCTGCAGTACTTAAATTAACTCTAGTTCTAGACACTGCAATGTCAGATTTTGTGCTACCAGGCTCTGGAGTACGAGGCTCTGCAATACTGTACCAAGCTCTACAGTAATCAAGCTCTGTTGTACCAGGCTTTGAAGTACCAGAGTAGGTCGTACCAACCTCTATAGTACCAGGCTCTGTGGTGTAAGACTCTGTGGCACCAGGATCTATACTACACCAGGCTCATGGGTACCAGAGTCTACAGTAATGGGTTCAACGGTAACAGGCTTGGTACTGCCAGTCTGGTATGAGGTCTAGGATATCAGGTACTAGTATGTACTACCTGACTCTAGGCTAGGGGTATCAAGCTCTATGGTACCAAGCTCTGGTGTACTAGGCTTTGGGGTACGAAGCTCTGTGTTACCAAGCTCTAGGATATGAGGCTATAGTACCTCCTCTAGGGTATGAGGGTCTGCACTATCAAGCACTGCAGTACCAGACTCTAAGGTACCTGGCTGGCTCTAGGTTATAAGTCTCCGGTATATGAGGCTCTGCAGGACCATGCCTGGAGTACCAGCTCTGGAGTACCACGTCTGGTACTTCGTGTATATATGGAGTCAATGCTGGGAACAAACCAGTCCAATTTCTGGGAACTTTCTCTGAAGAGCCATAAATTCAACGGGACCTTTCCCTCAGGCTTCACCCTGGAAGCTTCACTAGGGAATCCGAAGCTGGATTCCCCAGGAATGGAGGGAACTAAGGTTTCCCATTCAGTCTCGGCCAGCCAGCCTGAGGCTCTCACGTCACCTGGGATCACAATTGGGGAAGGTAACTATGGCTGAAGAGAACCCAGAGACAAAGGGCAGCTTATGGTCCATAATCCCCTTTTTCCACCAGGATACCAGGAACAAATCCACAAGAGAAGCTAAGTCTGAGTCCCCTAGTGAGTTCATCTGGGCAGCCTGCCTTCCCATTCTGACTTCGCACCCATGGGGCCTTGTTCTCAGGGAAGAGGGAAAAGACATGTTCATTTATGCCCTTTAACAAAATACCCAAGACTCATGAACTTTATGAGCAAAGGAAGCTGTTCCTCACAGTTCTGGAGACTTCTAGTCCAAGATCAGGTACCAGCAGGTTCAGGGTCTGCTACCTCTCCCCTCTGCTTCCAAGAGTGCCTGGAGCCCTGGGTCCTCACTGAGTCGGAGGCTGGAATGCAAAAAGAGACAGGAGTTGAAGCTTCTTTTATAAACGCCTTAAATCTCCTACACTAGGGCTCTGCCCTTAGGATCTACTTTGGCCAGTTTGTTTTACCACCTGAATTTAGGGAACATTCAGACCACAGCTTTTTATTAAAGTGTTTTATTTATACATATACATCTTTATTGTATATGTATGAGTGTTTTGCCTACACATGTTACCAGAAGAGGGTGTTGGATCCCTGGAACTAGAGTTACAGATGTTTGTTAGTTGACATACGGGTGCTGGGAACTGAACTTGGGTCTTCTGCAAGAGCAGCAAGGGCACTTAATCCCCGAGCCATGTCTTCAGTCCCCCTTCTTTATAAAGATTTTACGTTCATTATTTTTAATGATGTATGTACAGGTGTGTCTGTGTGGGGTATGTACACATGAGTACAGGTGCTCTCAGAGGCCAGAGGTGTCAGATGCCTCTGGAGTCAGAGTCACAAGCTGTTGCGAGACGCCTGGTATGGGTGCTGGGAACTGAACTGGGTTCTCTGCAAGTGCAATATGTGCTCTTAACCTCTGACATTTCTCCAGCGCCCAGACTGCAGCTTTGAGGGGAAGTCCAATTAAGCCTTTTTCCCTCTGTTGACTGACCCTCTCCAATGTGTGCACAGGGGAGCAGTCCCAGTTGCAGCTGGTGACAGAGGGGGCTACAGAGGTGGATGTATGATGTGCCCACATAGCTTTCTACCTGGTGAGGAATGGGGCCACAGCCTAGGACCACTGTGAGAAGGGCCCAGGTCCCAGGATAGGGACTGTGGGCTGAGCAGAAGTGCAGAAAGGCAGCTAGACTCAGCACTGCAGGAGGGATTCTGCCTCCTGCACACACTTTACTACATCTTCCTCCACTCCATTTCTGGGTTGTGGCCCTGCCTCCTGCTCTCAGTACGAAAGATGGTTCTTGTCTGTGATACTACCCATTGGTCAACCATCTAAAGGGCTCAGTCAACCCCAAACCAAAGACTAGGTAAACACCAAGCTCTCTATTCAACTCACTTCCCTCTCCTGCCATCCACCCACCCCTTATGGAGGCTGCAACGATAGTGCTTTATCCACCGAACTCAGTCTCCAAGGGACCCCAGGTCTTGAGGCACACGGCTGCTATCCCAACCTCATGCAGCAGGGCCCCAGCTTCCCTTCAGCCCCAAGCACTCAACAGCAGCAAGTGAGGACTGCTCTGGTTTGCACCACCAGGCAAGAAAAGAGGGCCACAGGGGTGGGGCTGGGTCATGGTTGTTGCTTCTAATTTAAATCCTCATTTCTTATTCTATTCTGAGATCCCCTCTGGATTTTAGGAATGTTGAGACGTGCATGTTGTAAAGGCTAGAGTACAGAACAGTTCCCTGGGCTGAAGGCAGGCGGCTTTAATAAGAACAGATCGCTGCCCTTGGCAAGCCACGCCTTGGGCCTTTGAACAAAAGCACTGAGCAGTGAGGATGGTTCCCAGTGACTTGGGTTGGCTGGATGCAGGCTATCGAGAGAAAGAGATTTTGAGACTAGAGCAACTCTGTAACAGCAGAGCCAAGTCAGCCTTTTAAATGAGGTTAAGCACCAGAGGGTGATGGTAAGCAGATCAGGCAGCTCTTTAACTGGAAATAAAGTGTGTTCAGCAGTCCCTGGAGAGCTGAAAAATGAAGCTTAGCTGGGAGAAGTGGACTCCATCTGGGGAAGACTGTGACTTAGAATGCAGGCTCAAAAGCAACAGAAGAGGCCCTTCCTCCGAGAAGGAAGAAAAGAGGGAAAGAGTGGAACAGGGCTGGTGAGACAGGATGGATGGACTGAGCCTGGCTCAAGGTTCACACGACATTTAACCAGGGCCTTTGCAGCTGCCTCGGCTCACCTCTCCCCAACTCTTGCAGTGTAGCTGTACCAGCCAATAGGAACAGTTTGATCTCGGGGTACCTGTGTTCCGAGAGATTGTCCACACACACACAAACAGAGTTTTTATAAGATTTCTAAAATCCCTGGTGAGGCCCTGTAGTGTGATTCTGCATTCTTTTTATCCTTGGCCTGTGGAAAGAGCATTTCAAACTCTAGCTCTCAGGGGATCCTGACAGGCATTTCTGAATCTGACTATTTTTCCCTCTCAGAGGAAATCATCAAATTAAAATGGAACTGAGCAATAACAGTGGACTATGCCATTTTGTATCTTCTTGGATTAAAGATAAACAACAAAGGCCAACTTGATATGTGAACAAATCTTCAGACTTGCTTGGGCAGAAAGCAAACCCCAGAGGTGTGAATAAAGTCACCACATCTGGTGCAGGGGGCAACCGTTATCGGTTAGTTTGCCTGGTCTGCCTCGTTCTGGAGTGAGCAGAGATGGGATGTGGGGGCAAATTTTGTGTCTATCACCTCTGCCAGTATGACAGCCTCAAGGGAGCAAGAAGGCGCTTTCTCTTCAAGAGCTTTGTAGGTGGTCAGAGGGCAGCTGGGAGGGACTGGGCCTCCCCTGCTTGGGGATGCTGTGGCTGTAGATTTGCAAATGAGAGGTGATGCTCCTGTCTACACTGCATGGTTTCCTGGGGCACTGGGTTCACTCTTTTTCCCTCTAGAGACAAAGTTCTAAGTACTTACAGGCCTGAAAACGGCCAGGAAATTCATAACCATTTTTCAAAACTAATATCATTCCATTCTAAACTTAGAAGTGGGGCAACGAACGGAATCTAAACAAATCATTCTCGTGAGCATTAAGGCTGGACCGGGGATTTGGGGCTTTCTGTTTGGTTGGTTTGGTTTGGTTTACTTGCTTCCAATTTGTTTTATTGATCACTGATGACCAGAAGAAGGAGTAACATACAGGACTCCCCCTGCATGGGCAGAAAGCAAACCCCAGAGGTGTGATGAACCGAGGTCCCGGGGGTGGGTGTCCCAGAACCTGTCACAGACAGGGCACAAGGGCCAGCCTCAGAATTTGTGGCCTGATACTGGGAATGTAAACTGCTGGACAAACACTTCATGCTTTGGCTGCCGAAGAAGCGCTGTGATGTACCTCAGGCATTCTCCATTTGTTGAAAAATGAGAATGTTACATATAGTTTGGCCACGTACTTGGCAGTGGTTACTTAATATAGCATTGTTATTTTTCTATGGAACCAGAATGCTAAATTTGATCGTTAAATAGTTCTGGGATGAGTTTCAGAAAGAAGCGTCTATAGACTGAACAGCTCTCTGAGGGAATATGTTCTGCTATAGAAGACAGTTTTGGCTAGGGCAACTCTGTTACAAATTCACAAACAGATCCTTGGGCCCAAGATTCAAAGAACACTCCAGTGTCCTGAGCAAAATGAACACGGCTGTTGCCTGGCCCAGCTGTTGCCTGCCAGCCCTGGTTCACAGCCTGGTAGTGGCGGGCATGTGTGCACGCTGACTTGGCCAGCTTGGTAAGCTCCTCTCTGCCTCCTCCTCCAGCCACTGGTCTTGGCAGTGACAGTATTTGTGTATATATCTGTTTCCTTAAGTGAGACTAGAATACAGTCGCTTATCAAATACACCCTTCGTCTGCAATGGCCACAAAACAAAACTCAGCCCCCATTTGAAGCTGCAGTTCCCAGGGTCTGGGTGTTTGTATATGGTTTTGATGCACCTGTATTTCATTTCCTGAGAGCTACCTGTTTACTCTCTCCAGTTTTCCGTGCTACTGACTGCACTGCTCTTGTGTTTTTATAGGAACTTTTATTTATTGTAATATTTTATTTATTATTTTTA